GTCGATATTCCTGAGTGATCTCAACTCCGAATGATTTAATAAAAAATTGCTTGGCACGATAATATTTAGCTGTAAATGCGATCGTCGTCTTTGCACGGCTACGAGGCGACAACGCTCACTCGCGAAGAGCCACGGCAGTAAAATCGAAGGGAATCGGGAATGGTCCGATTGGATTTCGTAGGTGGGCCCCCGTGGCTCTCGACGGGCACCGGTCGGGAACAGAAATGGAACGAACGTTTCGCGCCGGTATCGGGGCCCTTTCGCGTGGGGGAAACGAATTTTTCGGGCGTAATAACGATACCGAAACGACCAATTTTCGGCCGTAAAGTCGCGGGCCGGATCGCCGGCGCTCGAGAAGAAATCGGGACAACCGAGCCACGAATGAAACGATTCCCATGCGAAATCGACGATGCGTATGCGAGTCGCGTGGGCGGCGGCCAAGAGGTGCATTAAAATAATAAAATCGAGAGATGTGCGTCATTATTGCGCCACGTTGGTGGTCGTTCCCGTGCACACGCACGTGTTACGTACGTATTACCTTTTCACGACCGACACATTACGCGCCAGTCATTCCACCGTGATTAACATATAGCCAGATTCCAGTCATTTGCGCGTGCACGCATCCGATATCCACGATAAATTACGTGCGTGTAACGAGGGACCGTAATCGTTTCGCGGAAATTTCTGATGGAAAGCTGCCGTAGAGCACACTGCGATCCGAGAGGACTGCTCTTCGATGTTTCTAACGATCGATGGACATTTCGGTGGAAGCTGTGCTACGTTTCATTGCGATAATGAAAACGTGCGTTTCTCGTGGGGTGGTTCATGAATAATTTCCGGTTTTAGGTCGCGATCTGTTTGAAAATAAATCGCCGTGTAAGCAGCTTTAATCGATTATATCATTGATGATTACCGTTTATTCCTATTAGAAGAATGAGATTGCCATTTAATGCCATTTATTATTTAAGAATCGACCCAGAAGTTTATAAATGGCTCTATGAAAGTTTAGAAATTTATCTAGCTTCTGGAAATGCATTTTATGTACAGATCAAATGTACATACATTTTATGTACAGATCAAATGTACATACATTTTATGTACAGATCAAATGTACGTACATTTTATATACAGGTCAAATGTACATACATTTTATATACAGGTTAAATGTACATACATTTTATGTACAGGTCAAATGTACATACATTTTATGTACAGATCAAATGTACATACATTTTATATACAGGTCAAATGTACATACATTTTATGTACAGATCAAATGTACATACATTTTATATACAGGTTAAATGTACATACATTTTATGTACAGGTCAAATATACATACATTTTATGTACAGATCAAATGTACATACATTTTTCATGTGCATTAAGATTCGTGTATAAAAATCGAAGGAAGTATTATCTAAACTATCTACACTTACTCTCTGGAACTGGCAACTGTACACACTATTTTCACTCATTTGCAATATACAGAAAAAACGAATATACAGTTTCTTCGGAGAGAATTATATAAACTTTCTTTGTACAGAATTGTAATGCATGGCATTCTTATCTACTTAAATAAAACCGGTAAATTCTTTTTAATAGATCAGATTACGCGATACAGACATATTAGATTTTGCTCCTAACTCGTACTTTACACCATCGGTAGAAAACGAGTAAATTCGCTACGAAAAAATGTTACTTAATGTTAAACATTTCTACAATATTTCATTTAAACAAGAAACCCTGCGTACTTCTATACCCGATGGTATATAGATTATAAAATTTCTTGGTTGTTCCAGATTTGATACACAACGAGAGAACCGTCATTCCGTGAAGGTGTTTTAAAAAAAGTCACTTTCGAAGGGTTGCTTCGTGGTCGACGTTTTCTACTAAAATTATAATTCAACAATTTTTGTTTATACTTCAGTACGTGGTTAAATAAACCCTTGTGCAAGGAAATTCTATTCCTTTTGCGATACTCTCAAAATTAACGATCACAGTTATCGTAGTTAGTTTTGTTTCAGCCTCTAGACTCTACAGTCTACAGAGTGTTACTCTGTAACACTGGTCGGTGCACTCGGCAATTTAAAACACACGGTGGACGGCCAACGTTCATTTCCGCGTCCGGTTCGATAGATCGTCCTGCCGATAGCGTTCCTTCCTTCCTGTTCGTCCTCTTGCGTCCCACGAGAAACGCCGCTCGTCTCCACTCGTCTCCGCTCGTCCCCATCAGCATTCCTCCTTTGATTTCGCGCGACGAGAAATTCTCGATTTCGGTCGCGCCTTACGTGCACACGATCTCCCATCCTCGGTACGCTCAATCAAGTATTCATTACCGTCGCCGGCGACTCCGGCCACGGAATATACCTACTCTTCAGACATCAAAGCGAAATGAACGTCGCTGTCCAGGACCCACCAAGGCACGCTACGTGCGCGCAACCGGTCGTCGTCGGCCGCTGAATTTCAAGTGGCCTCTTGTTATTCTGGACATTGATCCTATAAACGAATCTTAGCGTCCACACGCTTGTACATTGTTTCATTGCGGGCTAAGCGATTCTCACCTTTACGAGTCGGTATTTTGATAGCAATTTCGTCTACGTGACACCTATCGCCAATATCGTCCCGACGCGTTCCAAGCTGACATCGTTTTTTTCTTCGGAAAAGTGGAAACCGAGCGATTTGGAATTTTGTGGTAGATATTTTTTTTCGGAAGGTCGAGGGGAGGAATTTTGTTAGGACTGAGATTCCACGAGGTGGTGGCTTGAAAGTTAATTTCTCTCGGGAGGAAATCGGAAGGCGATATTCACGAATTTTTATTAGGATACAGGATCCCTGATAAGAATACTTTAGATAATATTTCTTTCAATGTTAAAAGAGAATAGGTAGTATCTATGGAAAATGTGAGCACTTCGTTCTTATGATCATTCCGATGGTGTCGTATAAATAAAATTGTTATCGTCGGAAGTATTGCGTTTTCAAAATAGCGATTTTCTTGAATGGCTTGTTTTTTTTTTTTAATTTTAACTTGAGAACCTGTGCCTTTCCAGTCGGTAGGTACGATTCGATAGCTGCTATTGTTTGCTACATTTTTTTATTTCCTCTTTCACGCCACGCATTCTTTCTTCTCGATGGCTGATGTTGTTTTAAACATACCTGCATTGCAGAGAATTCCGCAAGCATTTCATCCGATATTTTCGAGGGATTTCGATGCTCGAGTTGCTAGCTGCACCCCGGAGACGCCATAAGTCCGACCAGGGTTTAATTACGGCTACGTAGACGAACGGTTTGTCTCTCATTTTCGGTCGAGTCTGTTTTCCAGGAAGCCACGAGAATTTGCTAATGTTTATCTTCGGCTGTTAGCTTTTTGTTTTAATATGTTCCTTCCGTGCCAGCCTGTCTCTAGATGCATACCCAAATATTTGACTTTCTTCCGGGCTATTTATCTTGGCATGGCGAACACGTGTTTCGTAGCAGTGTCAATGTTCAACAAAGGAAAAGAAAGAATTGAAATTTGTAGTCACTTTCAACTGCGACGACATCCATTCAGTTTTGATCAATTCTAATTTCATTTATATCAAATTATTAGGATCGTAGACGCAACGTTCGTACTTTTGATACGTGTATATTAATATCTTCGTATGAAAATCGATACAAATACTGTCTACCTCTAAATATGGCCTGGATATATTGAAACGTGAAAAATTGATATTAATTTTTGAAGTATTCAATGTGCATTTTATATTTTATCATTCGGAGCAAATGAGATACCAGTGTGTTGTACATTTTGAAAAAGCAACACTACTGAGTTTCATTTTGAGTAGTGTTCAATTACTCGATATTTGATCGGTAGATGATCAGTTTGAACAAATTGTTGAGACGATTAGTGGTACTAAAGCAGAATAAGCTAGATCTACACACTGAGTCCACATACATACAGTGCCGCTCCTCATGACAGAAAGTATCGGTAATCTGAAGACATCCAAAACCACCGAGATACCCTTGTCCCATCTTCTTATAAACAAGTACATTTCTTAACGACATTCTTCATTCAAACTTCATATCCTTCCGAATATATAAATATATACATAGACCAAACCCATACCAAATAGTCCAACCTACCCAATCCTGGTAAGAAATTACGAGTTCTCCGAATCAAAGAACATCAGCTACGTTATCCTACGTTCGACGCGACTCGCGACTTCCTGCATCGAACACGTCGCAGATTAACGCTTGGCTGGCATCGATCTCTCCGCAGATCTCTACGCAGATCTCTACGCAACCACGGAGATCGATCGCCGGCATAAATCCCGGCGCGAATGAGACCTGGACAGAAACTAATGCTACTAAACGGAGCCGGCATAATTGCACGCGAGTAATAACGTCAATCCCTCTGACGCAGGAACGAGCGTGCTAATAAGCGGTCGCGAGAGCTTTTTTGCTTGCAGGCGGTTCGCAACGCTACCGAACGCTCGCGACGCCGACGGTGGCGCGATACGTGTCGCGGGCACGCTGCTTGGGATAACGCGACTGGTAACGGACCGGCAAGAAACCCAGAGCGAACCTGGACCTCGTCGCGTCGAATTACATCGATCTCTGGAAAGTTTCTGATAGCGCGACTCCGTAACGAGAGACATTCCACAGGAAGAGAGGAAGAGAGGCGAGCGAACAGTAGACAGCGAGGAAGTAACGCGTCCGTGTTGAAACCTCCTGCTCGAGGTAATTTGTAAGCGTTACGGAGAGAGAGCGAGAGAGAGAGAGAGAGAGAGAGAGAGAGAGAGAGAGAGAGAGAGAGAGAGAGAGAGAGAGAGAGAGATT